ATTTTACTGCTGTTTTATTTATAAAATATAAAAAGTTAGAGTTCGCACGGAGTCATGAACCGGGTGCGATTACACTGGCATTTTGATTACGACCAGCTGGTTTCCATAGATAATAAAGTAACGGATGGGCCATCCACATAGCTTGTACGCAGAGCGTTCCGTGACGGAAGAGAACCAACATATGTTACCACAACGGTTGGACAGTGGTTACTAGGTAATTTATAAAGATAAATTATCGTATTTTGTTATCGTCAATAATAAATAATATTTTAATAAGTTGTTTAGTTCATTAGTTGTTTTATTATTCTTATGCTATGCATTACGTAACATGTTATACGTAGGTATAATATGTTAATTAATTATGTATAATGTACATACTTGTCAATTATTATAAGAAAAAAATCACAAATTTAAATAATAAAAAAAAAAAAATACACGTATAAAAACATATGTAAGTTATTAGTTTAGAAATAGCGCAAGTTTAGTGTACTTAGAATTATTTGTTATTTTATCATATTTTATATTCCAAGTGGAACGAGGAATGTATTGGTTTTACAATTATGTTTTTTTTTTCTTTATGTGAACACGTTTTCTATCAGAAAATACACTTCGATTATCAAGTATAGCAGTTTTTTGTGAAAGGAAATTTTCTTAGAGTGGTACTTATATTGTGCGATAACATTCGTTTTTCTCGACTTTTCGCATTAAATATTACTTTAATTGTATAAAATAATTTTTATTCTTGTCTCTAAATCTAAATGCATTTCCATACATATCATAATAATTAATAATATATTTTTTTGATCGTTGTACAATAACAATGTATAGGTAGTTTTAAAAAATTTTTGTGGTGCACTGCTGCTGTGCACCATAGCGCGAGCCGCCACTGTGCGTTATTATTTATTACATTTTCAAGTCAATAAGACAAATTACAACAACAGGTTATTAAACTATTCATTTATTATTTTTCATTATTTGTTTTTTTTTTTTTTTTTTATGTATATCAGTACGAGTTATGTGAAAAATGACAATAGACAATTTCATAAAAGAAAACAATTCTACGATTTTAAATTATTAATTACATTAAATAAGGTTTTTTTTAGAAAACTAAAAATTAAAATAACGGTTATAAACATAATAACGTTAAATGGAAAAAATAAAATAACGTTCGAACAAACAATAACGCTAAACGTTAAAATTGCATAATACCCGAAAACAAAAAACGATCAATTTTGAATAAATTTAAGCCCCCTTGATCAGCCTGAACCCAATTTCTGAATTCATATCTACAACGGCATTGATGATAATATTATTTTCCATGAACGCATATTATGATAATAACGGTTTTCGGCTTCTTCAACTAATTGTTAACGTTCAATTGTATTGACCATTACCGAGACGATATTGTAAGATACCGAAATAAACTGAAATCGAATTGTTTTTTGATATGAGAACTTAAAATCAATGAATTATGTTTAATAATTTTATTAAAAATAAATAAGCGTACGCTAGCAAAAAATTGTAAGTTGATAATTTTTTTCGGCGAAAATTTCATATCCGATTGGTTAGCACAATTTGCCCGCATCGCAAACAACAACAATTTTTTGAATTTTATATCCATCCTTGTCCAGTCACAAGAATACATTGCAAAGTTGATCGAATTCACCTGCAGCACAGAGAGAATAACAATTTTTTAAACAATATACAGTTAACTAACGCATTGTTACCTCGTTTTCCAAATTTTCAAATATGTAACAGTGTACGAACAAATGAAAATATCCGTATACATCCGTAGTCAACAACCTCACGACGTCGAATATCGAAAACGATTTTGTTGATAAGCAAACCTTTTATTTTTTTTTTTTTTCAAAAATGTATTACGAATTATAATAATACAGCGGTGATTCCAATACAATTATTAGTATGTGTTTAATGTTACCGAGATTAAAGTATATGTGAGCGTTGTAAGCAGAACACAATTCAGAGCAACGTTCAATAAAATAATTGGCCACACCGCTGAATAATATGTTTTTAATTTCCTAAATGAAGAAAAAAATTAAATATTCTATTTAATATGTCGTTCCGGAAAGTCATACCACTAACAGATGCCTGCAACCCGATTGAGCACAAAACCAATCAAACAATAGGAATTCAAATTACGATACGATTGAGCACACACATATGTTCAACATTGCCGTTTTTATTATATACAAAATAAATATGTTCCACTTTTAATATATTTCAATTTAATAGTGTCGTTTTCGTCTTTAAAATTATATAAAATTATTCATAAAAAAAAAAAAAAAGATGTCCTAGGATAATGGGGATGGGTGCAGCCACAATAATTTAATGTATAAACCATTGTTTACGAAAAAAACCGATTCTGAGCGGAGTTCAGTTGATAATTTTGCTTTTTTAACAATATGTTTGTCGTTTTATAGTAAAATAATTTAAATAGGCTTTATATATTTTCTTTAATAATATTTGTTTAATATTGTACCGATTTTCTCAGTTTTCCTACGTTTTTCCTGGTTTTTCCATGTTTTATTCCGGGTTTTCACATTTTCTGGGAAAACTATTAGAAAAATCGAAAAATTACCTTCTTAAAGTACCTCCCCACACCGATTTCCTTTCAGAAAAGGCGTTACACTTAAAAATCTGAGCAAGTTTATTGGTAGAAAAGTTGCGCATAGATAAAAGTAAACATCTTTGTAAACCTATAAGCTTCTTCGCTCCACTCAGAATCTCAAAAATTGGTTTATAATAAATAAATCGAACATTTCAAAGTAGTATCCCTAAAAATAACTGATTTCCAAACTTTAATAAATATTTTAGTGCATTTTTAGAATGTTTATTTCTTAAAAATTCGTCGTAAGCTATCACGATTACATTGATTTTTTGCCTTTCAATAAAACTTATATTTGTATTGCTCTCGATATTAATTGACCGTAAAGCGCAACGATTAATAGTAATATACGAATATTTCAAAAGACACGTATATGTCGGTGCACGGTTGTAGACAGACAGAGAAATTGAAAACGTCGGATTCGTTTGACTGTGCTCAATCGGATTATTCAAAAATATAGACCATGCTCAATCGGGTTCCACCGCCGACATATAGCTAATTGTTGACATTCACGTAAGATATCCACGAAGTCGTAAGATAAACAACGCTTTATTTCTTTAGCCATTTGGCCAATTACAACAAAAAACGACGTACTCGTATGCGTCATAAAAATCCCTATACACATTTTCCCACTGTCTATACTCTATAGGGTGATCCATTTATGAAAGACCAGCGATTTCTCTGAAATGTTAAGTGAATTTGACTTATGTTTTAATGGTTTAATTGATCATTATTGATCCGATCAAACATTACTTTTCAATCAATAGCCAAACTTCTTATTGGCTTAACACTAATTACTAAATAAAAACATTAACTATTGTCTAATAAAACATTTAAGAGTCAAGCCAATATAGACCGGAAGAGTAGAAACGTTAATAAACTCCGTAACCATTTTAGTATGATAAATTGATAAGTAAATTGAAAAAAAAAAAAAAAAAAAGATAGTGGCCGGAAGAAATTACTTTAGAATTGCGTAAATGACGTGCCAAGTTTCGCAAATTGTACCAAGTGTTACGACACTAATTTGCCGTTTTAAAGGACTACGTTTAAGCATTATGTGATGAAGCCCTCCTAAAGGCTAATTACACAGATGATAAATTACTTACTTGTTGAGCTTTTGTTGGTCGGCTAAAATTGATTTTAAATTTGAATAACATTCTGTAACAAAATCATAACATTGATGCAGGGTGCCAGGTTCTCATTAATCTTTTGTCATATAGCGTCGTATTTCAATAGGGAATATATTTTATTCTGATACGCCGTTTGCTTGAAGTTCACTTCGCTCGAATAGTTTCCCCGACAAATCATTTCAAACAACATAATTTTAGAAAAATTTAGGTTTTTAAATTCTGAGCGTGACGAAACGTACTGGTTTTACTATTTAACTTTTATACTCTGAGAAAAACGATACATTTAACAATAGTTTAACTATGATGTGTGCAGCATATGTATTATCAACAAAATTTTTGTTTTGTTTATACTCTTCACAAATTTTCAATTTGAAATCTCGCTCTAATCAAAAAATGACAAACAACCGTTTTTTTTTTTTAATTATTGGAATATTTTTAATGGATTAAATTAGCCATTTATTGATTTGTAAAACAATCTATATAATAACTGGGAACGATGGGGGAAATCGTACAGAATACATGCACATAAATTAAAGGCATAAATATTATGGATATAAAAAAAAAAAAAAAAAAATAGTTTCAAAAATATTCATTACTATTTCTATATAAGTTTAAAAAGAAAAAAAAACTGTCCGTTTCGCTGTTTCAAAGTATTTATTGCTTTACTAGATATAAGGGTTGAATTAGTTTTTTTTCGGAAAAACATTTTTCAAAGTTCCCAACAATTAAAAAATACTTCATAATCATGTTGCCTATCGTCATGTAATATCTTTAGTTTCTTTAATTCATTCGAATATCCTTACAGTTTTTCATCTTATAACATTCTTAATTTTCGGATTTTCCGAATATTCATTCTGTATACTTTTAAATATTTTACTCCGATTTACATTCCACGCGATAATATTCCGTTATTTGCTTTCACGAGGAAACTATTTGTGGAGTTTCTCAAAACGTTTTCAAATTTGATACATGCAATCTTTATATTACGTTCTAATGGTTGTGTACAATTATTTAAATACCATTGACATTTTTTTTTTTTTTTAAATGAAAGTTTTAAAATTTGTACGCAAATCGTATAAATTGTGGTACTTAATAAGATGTTTACCCAATCTTTACTCGCAATCTTTTTTCTTAAGATGTGATTTATGTTTGCTACACGTAAAATTATACTTTTATATTACGTTCTAATGGTTGTGTACAATTATTTAAATACCATTGACATTTTTTTTTTTTTTATTCAAGATTTATGGCTTGACGAATATTTCTTTTACGTACAATTTACGTAAAAATGTCTTACCTTTTTGAATTTTTTCTTCCAATCCAATACTTCGGAACGACTCAGCAATTACTTTATATTGGCCGATCAAAGCGTAGAAAAGAGAAATTAAAAATAAATCGACAACTAAGGTATTATAATAAATTACAAACGCTACCGATATTTCTAACATGTAAAAAAATAAATAATAATCGTTGTACGTATTTAGTTCAACCGGATACGGATAATTTATAATGTTTTTCATGCGCAATCCATTTTTTTCGTTCCCGATAAATAAATTGAGGATTAAAGGATTGAGTATCCACTGAACGATCACAATAGATAATAAGAAAAAATAGAAATTTGTAATTTGTATTGTTTTTGTGCAGTATTTGTCCAGTATTTCGTTATTTCGAACACATATATAACTTGTCAAAAAATTATATTTTGTGACGGAAAGCATGTCCCAATATTCGTTTCTCTTGTACAGAGTTCTAATAAGCATGAACAAAATGTGATAAAAAAGTATCGTGACGAATATAACGAGACAAAAATCAATGTGACCCAATAAATAGGCATTTCCGAAGAAATAGCCTAAGTTTCCGTAAGCCACCACGCATTGAGTTACCATATATAGCATAACCTCAAATATTAAGTAAACGTTCCATTTGCGTATCTTTAAAACGCTTGGATCAAATAAGTTATACATATAGGTTCCTTTTAATAATTTCAAGTTTAAGACAATTCTTTTGTCATCCTGCAGTAATTTCTCCATCTGACAGTTATCACTTTTTATAAATCTGTGAAAATAAACAATGTGGTAAATAGCGCTGTAATAGAGTTAAACAATTATCATGTTTAATATATAAACATAGCCTAGTACAGTATAGTTTTTTTCTTTTCAATATACGCGCTTTGTGTACAGAAATAACTAAAATATTAACAATCTTATTTTATTTTATTACTTTATTTTTTCGTTTAAACATTTAAAAGATTAAATTACATTTAAAAAATTAATTTACTTCGCAGCATAAAAAATGACATCAAATAACGGGACATACCTGTTTTTTGGGTGTAATAACACGAATTTGAGATTAATGGAAATGTGTTTACGACTGGTACTAGTATGCTACTGAATAATCGTGTCGGTATTTTAGTCTAAAATTGTCGACAATTTCATATTAACAATTATAATTTATTCCACCCAATTGACCTATAAAATTGATAACAATGGAAACGATATTGGTACCGAATAAAATATGTAGAATATGCTTTTATTGGTATAAATACCTGCGAAGTAAGTAGACACATAACTGTTTAAAGAGGGAAGCACGCATGAGGCTTTTGGGACAATTACAACATGCGATTGGTTAAATAATACATAATACTTCATCTATTAAATTACTGTTCTTTCTCTGACCTTTCTATATCGTATTACGGGAATCATTTTTTATACATACGAGTGTCTGTAGCTATACGGTATTATGGTGTACGGGTATAATTTTGAAAATAAATAACCTCCTTTTAAAAACTCTCTTAGATAATTTGTACTTTTATTTAAACGTATACAATAACTAGCTGTACCGCCCAGCGTTGCCCTTAACAAACAAATGTCTAACAAAAACGCTTTCCCCGTGGAATTCGTATTTAAATCTTAATCACTGCATGTTAATCGGTATTGGATTTAAATTTTTAAAAATGCGTTTTCTTTAGTTTTATTTTCTGTCTTATATGAATCAGTTATATGGTTGCTAGGTTATGAAAAATACCTATCAATTATTATTTTGCATTTAACCCGAAACACTGCAGGTTACGTCCACTACCAATATTGGTTCGATCGGGGATTTCTATGGCTTCAAATCTCCTGTACGATATACTAAATAATTCGAAAAACGAACTGCATAACAATTGAACGAGTAGTTTCGGAAACTATTCCATTTTACATTTGTTTAATCTATAATATATACTTATTATAATTTCGTATTTCGTTTTTGCATCATGATATTTGGTAAATTACCGTTTATCCGTTTAGCCCGGAATATATTTTCCGCGTTTGGTAATCCGTATGACCTACCATCAACCGCAAATACTGATTTAATCGTCTTAGAATCATATTCAATTGCAACGCGTATCATTTTAAGTTGTATACGGCTCGCGGTGTGTTCCCAAATCGAGTGCAATTTAAAATAATATGTGGCACGAAAAAAGTTAGAAAATATTTTATCGGCGTCGAACAGAAAAGAATCGATTAACGAGCACTCAATGCTAACGCTAAATTTAAAAACATTCGTCAGAGTTCACGATCACCTAACGGATATAGCACACGCACATTACAATCAAAGTAGGTACGTCATCGGTATAATTATTGACTATAGGTCGTGTTTTCGTCCGTTTTTTGCGTAACCGCACTTTTTATAATTACACTGACTGGAATGCAAGCAGTGGCTTTGTCGTAATCGTCATCATAAAATTTCGAACAGAAGTGGATTAACACTATACCTATAAAAAATCTGCACATCAATCCAACATTATTTGTTGTTTATTTTTTTTTTTCTACATATCGTTTCAATAGTATTATTATTACTATCATTGTTAACGACTTTAACTTTATATCTGTATGTAATAGATACATCCATGAGCGCTTATTAAGGGAGGGAGGGGGGGGGGCAAAAGGGCGACATGTCCCCCTAGAAAAGTATCCAAAAAACAAATTATGTATGCTTTGAATCTATCAATTAGATTAAAAATATATATTTCATATTATTATTCCCAATGATTTTTGTTATTTGATATTTATAAGATGTTATTATTTAAAAATAAATAAACTAATTGTCTACTCAAATGTATGATGTCTTGATTTTAGCACTTAAAAGTGTTTTAGATTCTGAGCAGAGTGAGGAATGTATTGATTTTTACAATGATGTTTATTTTTTTTCTGTAGACAATTTTTCTACCATCAATTTTGCTCCGAATTTCAATAATAGCACTTTTTCTGAAAGTAAATCTGACTGGAGTGGTACCGCAGGGTAATCTATTTTTTATTTTCCTCATTTTCAGTCATCACGTATGTACCTTGTTTGTTGTTGTAGACAAACGCTACACGGATAGCAAATCGTCAGGAAATTTAAATTTGTGTTAATATCGAAAACGTAGTACGTAGATATCAAAAACATTTTTTTTTTTTTTTTTCAATCGCTCACGGACAAATATCTGGATAAAATTATCTAAAAATAACATTTTTATCTAAGATAAGTAATTTGATAGCTTAGCGTTATTAAGATAAAATATGACTAAATTTGTTTCTAGATATAGTGCAACACTGGGGATAACCTACCATATTGTTCTTGTAAATTATTTGTTGTAACTTCTTTTATACCATTTTGAAATTTGTATTAATTTTCGGACATTGGTTACCAACAATATTTAAAACAAATTTGCGGTTTTTGCTAATCCGATTTATGTGTGGTTTTTATCACAGTTAACCGTTTACGTACAATATACGTGAACTGGTGGGTGGAGTAAACAAATTGTTGCTTTTTGTTCCCGATACGAACAATCGGAAATATTTTTAACTTTTAAATTTATATATTCGGTAAAGCAGGTATATTACAGAAATAAACTTAAAATAAAGATTTAGTGGTTTAATATGAGATTATAATGGTACAATAAATTGTATTGGTATATATTTATGATTATTGATCGTGAACGAAGTACGTGTGTGTTTTGCGTAATAAAGAATTAAGTTGTGGATAATAAAATATTATGTCTTGTTTGTTAGTAACAATTAATGTTCTCTGGGAATATTCCACGGGGAACGTTAATGAAAATATTCCCTGATCCGATCGTAAATATTCCTTCAAAAAAAAAAAAGATTAACTATAAGACTCGGGTCAATAATTCGCTCAAGTTGGCGTTGTATAATTGCATAGCGTCTTTTAGCCTATTATGTGTATGTGTGTGTTTATTTATACTAATATAGTAGCTAGGGAAATGATATTTTATTTCATATATATTTAAATTGAGTATACTGCTTATTTGATAAAATTGTTATATCGTATAAGAGTATGTAGTGTAAACGTGTAGTGAGGTGTACTATTCGATTCTAAGTGCGTTATTATTCTGTTGTTCTTGTGACGTGGTAATATAAATTGTTTTTTAATATGTTTTTAATAAAATAATTTGTTTTATTAAATACAAGGTAATTCGATATTTCATAATAATTATAAAAATGTAGCTACCCTAATAGTAATACCTAACTTAATTTGTTTTAAAATAAAGAGACATACCATATTATTTTTATTATATATATCATAAATACATAAAATAATAGTATTCATTCGAATAAATTATGGAAAAATTACATTGAATAAAACATTTAAACAATTTGCATATTATAAATTATAATATTCCCAATAAATTCACGATTTTGGGAATATTCACGGGAATTAACATATAACTTATTATGAGTAAGCACTACATAATCTAAACGAGTAGACGGTTATATAAAGCGAAGTTTTACCATACGGCACATGTCAATAGATAGCTCGATTTTCTGACATCATATAATTGCGCATCTGTTATCAGTTAAGCTGCAATTTTCAACTTATAAGTAATAATACAATTTTGATCAAACTTAAATAACACAATTATATTACAAGTATACATGTATGCATAAAATGATGACATTAAAAAAGTTGAGAAAGTTTATAAAGATTTAGAAGAATTTATAAAACTAACATAAACAAAGTTCATATTATAATGATTGGGGAATAGAATGTAGTCATTAATGAAGAGTCAGATGGAAATTATGGATTAGGAAAAAGCAATAAAAGTGGTGATCGACTACTACGGTTTTGTAGACAACATGAATTAGTTATCTCCAACTCTATATTTAACAATCATACGAGAAGGCGATACATTTAGAATATATCTGGAGATATTGAAAGATATTGAAAGATATAAGATAGACTCTTCTGATAAGAGATGGATTCAAAAATTTCAAAAATCAAATCAAATCATGAAAAGCATATCAAAGGTATGGCATAACAGCAACCACAATCTTGTTATAATAAGATATGATTAAATATTTAAGAAAATAAAGAAACTAAAATAAAAAGTAATATAAGTGGAACTTAGAAAAACAAAAATCATTAGAAACAGCATAGAAATATCAAAATATATGTTATGATAAAATCAGTTACGAAATAAATTTCTGGTTTGATACCAAAAAAGGATTTATAGAAGGCCAGTGGAGATGTATTAGAATAAATCACATTATCTTATTTGCGGAAACCATTCTAGGGATTAAAAAGAAAAATTCCAAACAGAAACGGATAACTCAAGAAATAGTTAATAATGTACAAAAAAAAATATCCCATAAAATCAAAAATGATTAGGTTAGTGTAAGACAATATAGAATAGTTAGGGGTAGTATAAACCGAGAAGCAAGACTTCCAAAATAACGATTAATTAAATCACGGTGTCAAAAAGTATAAACCTTTATTGACCTATCTAAATATATTATATTTTATATGTGTATACAGAAAACAGAATAGAATAAATAGCACAACGGGAAAAGAAAAATGCATTCCGACTAAAGAGTTGGAATGAGTTTTTCTTTAAATATTATATTTATGGAATATTTTTGACTCAATTAAAGTAGATTTAAGAACAAGAAAATCTTTATTAAATAAAATGTACATATGGAGTACAATATTAGATGATCAAGGTGATAGCATATAGTAGGTCATATGCTGTAGCACAAGGCACAGCGAGGAACTTCATACCATCATACTAGAAGTTATAATAGAAGAGGAAACCCAAGAACATTATAAGTTAAATAATCAAAGGAAAAAAATAATAGATTCGTATAACTCAAAGATAAGGCATAAACAAAATAATCTTGTAGAACATTTTATTGTAAACAAATATACACATTAAAAAAAAATGCACAGCATCATTAGCCTATTATGTGTGTGTGTATTATATTATTCAGAAATAATACACACTAGGTAGGATTTACTTAAGTAAATGTATGTGTTTATGTGTTTGTGTGTGTGTGTCTTATTTTATTCCTGTCACGAAAAAATATATATTAACTTACCTTTGATGAAACTGCTTTAAAGATCATTTTCTCAGAGGAACACAATTAGTTTTCGATTAACCGTGCAATTGAAACGTCATTTTACTACCAAATAAAACATGAGTTCAATCTATAAAAACATTAATATCTGGAAGACAATGTGTTCGAAAAATACTTTGCAACAGCAACTGTTTAATTTGTTGATGTAAGTATGTTAGCTGTGGCGGAGGGAAGACTGAAATTTCTGCTTTTCGCTAAAGCCAGGAGAATACTTTGTGCCAGCAACTGCTTATTCTGAAAGCTTATATGACTGGTGAAGTGCTCTTGCAGTATATACATATGTGTGTACACTGTACAGTCTGAGGTAAATAGAAATAAATAAACATCATTTAATTTGTAGTTTAAACGAATAAAGACTCTTAAGTAACCAAAAATACCAAAGAATTGTGACGTTCAATGTGTATAGTAAACACACGTTAAGATATATTTATTTTACAATTCATACACCAAACGGCAGTTACAATGTTAAAAAACGAAACTAATTAATTAATAACACATTAAAAACAACACAATAATATTACATATATAAATATATAATTATGAATATAATAAAAATATAAAATGAAATCAACTAAAAGAGAATCTATGAGATGAGAGTGAGTCAGGGGGTAAATGTTCTGACCATACGATGAAAGTAGTTATTATAGACGTACGAGGTTGTGTTATTGGGGATAACGAATGGATGCTAGTTGTGAGTAGGTTACGATGTGACTCTAAAACAGAATCTTACAAGAAGATCTGGATCATCCAGACACCCATTTAAAAGTGAAGCAACGAATCTTTGATCAGCTTCGAAGTGACGAAAAAATGGAGTTTGGACGTGGAGAACTTCATGAATGGGGTTGCGTGGTGTGTGATTGGAATGTCGTGTACGAAAGCAGCATAAGCTAAACAATTTTTCTGTACTCGTTGAAGATGAAATGGGTCTTTCGCAAGGAAAATGTGAAAAACAACCACTCCGAATTCAAGAAGGAGTCTAACGAGTCAAAAATA